GAAATGAGAAAATGAATGCCCGATTGGTAAGCCGCTGTTGCCATGATGAGTTATTGAAGGATCGTGGGTAGACGATGGATCATCTCATGAACACAAATTGAAGGCCCATGGCAAATCATTTTCATTCATCTTGTTACTAAGCAAACTGCGAACCTTTCGCACATTCTTTATGGAAAAGAATGTAGTAGAAAGGAGGATTATTGACTACTTGTTGTTATTAGATCAACCATGATATCGCCATCAACAAGGTTGATGGATCTTGTCGAGCAAAATGAGTCCAGATGAACCATGAAAATAAACAGCCAAGTAAGGCCCATGTTCTACTATTAACGACAACAATTTAAACTGCAAGGATTATGATGATACAATTTTCCACGCACTCTATCATCCATGATGAGTCTCATTTAGACTGTCTTTGAACCCTCTTGGTGATCCACACACCTAAAAGAGATCTCCATGAATCGCCATCATGTTGATAGATGATTACTTATTGTTACAAGGAAAATCTCCAATTATCCTTTAAGGTCAAGAAGCACGCCTTTAATAAAGACGCGAATATCTAAAAGGTGCAGTTTTGCTCTCTTAGAGTCCGTACTTCAGAATATCCTATTTACAAGACGATAATAGAAGATAGTTGACCCCATATCTACTCCAAATATGGCTACTAGATATAGCGAATTAAAAATTTTCAGAAAATTCAACTCCTATATGAAGAAGGCGAGAAGAAGTATATAGCGCAGGATGACCTAAATGCAATCTCAAATTACGAGCAAGCTCTAGATCAAATTCAGTCGTTGCCAAAAAAGGATACTGATCTAGAACTCCAGTATAAGATTAATCTTCGGATTACTGATATTTATATTGGCATGGCGAATGGAGTCAAGCTACTAAATTTAGGCAACATGCTCTATATATGGCTAATAGAATGAAAAATCAGGTCTACATTGCCGATTGCATAGACAGGCAAGGAGATATTAAAAGAATGACTGGCGACGAAAGTGGAGCCTTATCTGATTTTCGGATATCACTGGATATGAAGTTAAAATCACTTGATGGCGACAATTTAAGCATTGGTGATACCTATCATAAAATAGGACGTGCCTACTTTAGTCAAAAAGAATATAACAAGGCGCTTTTAATGTATCAAAAAGCACTTGATATTCGAATCAGAAAGCTTGGTGATGATGTAATTGTAGCTCAATCCTATCATAATATAGGACTTGCCTATAGCAACCTAGGCATGCTTGACGATGCTATCAATATGAATAAAAAATCACTTGAAATAAATCTTGCCAAGCTCGATAATGATCATTATCACGTTACTACTTCTTACGATTTCATGGGAAATTTATATAAGAAGAAAGGGGCGTATAAAGAAGCTCTTGCAGTGTTTAGAAAAAGTCTTGAAATTAGATTGCAACGGCTTGGTAGTAATGATGTTAGTGTTGCATCATCGTATCGAAATATAGGGCTTCTGCATCGTAGCGCTAAGCAAAATAATCAGGCTATACGGATGCTTGAAAAAGCAATCGAAATTTTAACTTTTAATTATGGAGAAAATCACCGAAACATTGCCAATATCTATAATGAAGTAGCTACATGCTATAGTCATCTGCATCAGAAAGATGTAGCCGCGAATATAAGACGAAAGGCTGATAGCATTCGTAAAATTTTAAGTCATTCGCCACAGAAGAACAGTCACCGAGTATTTCAACCACTTAGCCATGTTTCCCGACAATCAGAAGGTAAATTTCTATGCATGCGATTAGTACAACTATATTTATAATTAATTTCTGCTTAGTACTGTATATGTCATCCACTTTTTTTCTTTCTATTGCAAAATATGCACTTAATTTCTAAAATAGAAGATGATTTTAGCTGCTGTTTCATCTTACTAGTCGTGTCGTACTAAAGGCAACGAAAATCTTGACCATTAATTCTTAATTAGTTATGATAATGTGCACGTATGCTAACAGGTAGTTTATATCTAATTCATTAAAATAAGTAGTCTCTCTCGTACTATTCTTGACATCGTTTAAATCACATTTACTAGTGCAAACTCCCGTCGCTTTGCTGACGGCTTACGATAATGTGCTCATTTAACAGATAGTATTACTATTTGATGGACCTGTCAGAGGTTCAGTAACTTTTTACCGTGTATGGTAAATATAAGAAACCTTAGTCATTCCCTGGATATCACTTTACATTCGTAACCTTTGCTCCACTAACAAAATTTTTATTTTTCTATCTGTTGTATATCATATTTGAATGATATTTGGATAGGTACTGGTATACAAAGCAAAAATTACTTAAAAGCGTATAATAGAGCAATAAAGCAAGGAAAGCGTCGCAATAATTTGATTCGTGCTATGTTTGTTGGGCCTCGTAATGTCGGTAAATCATCGATTATAAGAGTTTTCACTCAACAAAGGCTAAGCGGTCATGACTCACCGACACAAGTTGTTGAATGGTCGGAAAGAATGATCAAAATCAATGCTTATGACATTTATGATGGGAAATTTTGTGCTATGAGTGAAATATTAGAAAAAAACGTGATCGCGTCTATAGAAGAATCGCCTCAAGTTACCAAAGAGCTTGATGATAATCCAAACTTCAAGAAGCAGATTATCGAAACTCCCGTATTAAGTAAAGAAAATCACAAGCTGCATCAGGCGAATCATCATTAAATAATCTATGCCTCGACTCTTCTGATACAACCCAAAGCGACAATCTAATAGTATCGATCTTTTCTCAAGTTACTAAGATTTCGCTAGAGAGTGAATTTAATTCGAGCACAATGCAAAACGACCTTCAAAACTATTTCGTATCTATTACGAAAGACAGCAAAGATGCAAAAGAGGATAGAAAATATGCTAAAATATGGGATTTCGGTGGCCACTCTGTCTATCACGTTACCCATCGGCCGTTTATGTCCGCTAATAATATTTATATTCTTGTCTTTAACATTACCCAAAATATTAATGACCATGTAAAAACAAGACATGGTTTACTACTTACTACCAACTATTTACAAGCCATGCAAGAATGGCTTACGTCGATTATAAGCGGCCATAGGGATCCAAGTGACATTAGCATCAATATTGACGGTGTACCTGTGAAATATTCATTGCCTATTGTTATTCTTGTGGCTTCTCATGGCGATAGTCTTGATGGCAAAGAAGATGGAAATCGTCGATTTAAACAATTTGAGCAAGATTTAATTTCTTATATGCCAACTTATAAGCGTAATATCTACTCTTCAGGTATTATTTTCAATTGTAAACCTGAAGATAATAACTTAGCTACGATATCTCAACGTCGAGAATGTTGTCGTCGTTTACATCTCATTATTAAAGAATTTGTTTTATCCTTGTTTTTTATTCGTAATCCAATTCCTATCAGGTGGTATATTATGGCTACAATACTCAATACATCTTTTCACAGATATGAAAATCAAGAGTCATCATCCGTAATTGATCAAATTAGAGCAGCTCGTGTTCGTGATATTATGACTATGCAAGATGTAACATTATTAGCTCAAGATTATACGTTGTATGAAAGTAAAGACGAGCTAAAAGTGATGCTAATGTATTTACACGATTTAGGAGAGATTGTATTTTGTCAGAA